GTGCTCTTCCGATCATTAAATTTTGAATTTTAAAAGCTTCTCTGGTTTTACGGTAAACTTTCTTCTTTCCATCAAATTCAAATAGCTTAATCTTCGATTCATCTGTCCAGAGAACACGATTCCAAAAGGATTGAGGATAATTTACATATTTCCGGAAAATACGCCATTTGCCAAATAGAATTGTAACTACATACTAAAACAACGCAGTTTGAAAATTGTCTTTCAATTATTTTTCGTAAAGAAACTCACGCACGAAAAGTACTTTGAAGAAGCATTTTTCAAGATCAAAGAGAATAGACGAATCTGAGACGAAAGTAATAATTCGGACACATCATATTAGATCAACGTAAAACGTGGCTAAGTAAATGCAAGCATTTTTCTGTCTTTGTAAGTGATTTTGTATGGTATAATGACAACAAAGTTCTTGTTTCCATTATTTTCCAGTCATGAGATCCAAAACTCCGATTGCGATTTGTAATTTAGTGATTAAGCTCTATACTGACGAGAAGAACAAGTCTGTGAGGGATATTGCTAAAATCGTCAAGATACCAAAGTCTACCGTATATGATATCATAAAAAAGTACCAGAAAATCAGTAGATTGGGAAACAAACCAAGAAAAGGTCGAAAACCAGTATTCAATGAAAGAGAAATTCGAATTATTGTACGAAAAATCAAGTTAGATCCCTTCAAAACAGCGACGCAAATGGCAAAAGAAATTGAAATAGAATTTGGCAAGATCGTTTCTTCTCAAACAATAAGAAAATATCTGCGGAATAGCGGTTTTCGAGCGAGAGTCCCACGACGCAAGCCATTAATTTCAGCACGTAATAAGAAGAAGAGATTGGAATTTGCAAAGAAATATGTAAATTATCCTCAATCCTTTTGGAATCGTGTTCTCTGGACAGATGAATCGAAGATTAAGCTATTTGAATCTGATGGAAAGAAGAAAGTTTACCGTAAAACCAGAGAAGCTTTTAAAATTCAAAATTTAATCCCGACTGTAAAATATGGCGGTGGAAAGTCTCTCTTCTGGGGATCAATGGCTGCTTCTGGAGTAGGAAAACTCGAATTTATTCGTGGTACAATGAATCAACAAATATACGTAGACATTTTGAAGCGTAATTTAAAACAGTCAGCTCGTATCGCTGGAATTAGACGAAAATTTATCATGCAGCAAGATAATGACCCGAAGCATACCTCTCGCTGTGCACAGGAATTTTTTAAAACAAATAAGATCAACAAACTTGAATGGCCTTCTCAGAGCCCAGATTTGAATCCAATTGAACATTTGTGGGAAATTCTCAAGTCAAAAGTCCGAATATCAAAGCCTCGGAATCATAGAGAATTA